TTCAGTAAGATACTTGATACGGCTACCCTTTTGGTAACAATGCTTTTCACCACCCTGGGGCTGTGACTATTATTTTTTTATACCGAGTACACTGTCTGCCAAGTGACCGAGAACAAGAAATCTTTTCTGTTTTGGGGAAGTCAAAGTCCCGGCAAACATAACAACAAAGTGTGTACTTATAGAGCGAGGGGAAATGCTTTTGTCGTGTGTATCCGACGCGTATATTTGTTGTTTGCATTGTAAATATGATGGGGCATAAAAAGACAGCTAGTCTGGTTTTTTGTACTTTTATTACTATTTATTCTCCGTCTGCAGCAGACAAAAGAGGAAATGCGACCGCCGCAGCACGTCGCTTATCTCCAGTGGCTGTCAAACTGCACGGTTCATGGCTTGCATTCACAATGCAGGGGAAAAACATAAAAAATGCATCGGGCTTGGAGATGGTATTGTGATAAAGTATTTTCCCAGAAAGTCGATTGTGGAATAAATCGTCAAGAAATTGATATGTCAAAGAAATGTAAATTATCCTTTGCAACTTAATTTCTTGGAACAGCGCGGAGAAAAAATATAAAAAATAAAAGTATTAATATTTTAAATTGATTTAATAGCATAACAATGATAATTTTATTTTAAAAGTACCAAAAATTATACACACAAATAATGCAAATACTTGTGTTTGCATTATTCCACAGTAATATTATTTTCTTTTGAAAGCTTCTTGGTAAACAAATTATTCAATGAGGAGATATTTTATTCAATGTACAGTATACACACACAATCCCTGGCCATTGCATATAGTTCACATACCCCTTATATTATATCCATTTCTAAATGCACCCTCGTTGTGCCCATTGCGGGTTAAAAATAACATTATTATTTCAGCGATAAATGCAATTTGTTCGCCTTCTCGCGTGTTTATCTACAGTTGAACGACTTATGTAGCCATGTATGCATTATAATATACATACTTTCATATCTTGGCCATATTGAGGGCAATGCAAACTTGACACAGATAAAGGCGAATTAAACATTGAGTCATTTCCATTAATTTATAAGTGTAAGCATTATTTAACAGGCGAGGGGCCAATTCTTCTAGTTGCTTAATTGCTGTGCACAGCACGCGCTCATAGAACGAGGCAAGAGAACAAAAAGATAGATCTGATTACAAACACTTCGACTACAGTGGACACTCGCCGAGGTGAAAATCCAACGACAAACCATTTAAAAAATTGTGTTTCTGTTTTTTTAAATTTATTTTTATAAATATTTTATAAAATGAAGCAAAGAGAGCAAAAAAGATAAATCAAGTTACAAACACTTTGACTACAGTAGGCATTCGCAAAAATCTAATGAAAACCCGTTTAATAGATCGATTTTTTTTCATTTTCACTTCTTTCTAGCACGTATTAATTAAAAGAAGAAAAGAAAAAATTATTTTATAATTACAAGTTTTTTTAAATATTCTTCTATTGTAATATTTTGGTTTAAAAGTATACAATTAATTATAAGTTGATTTACAGTATATTAAAAATAGATTTATTCAAAAAAAGTTAGGTACACGAGTTACTACTGTAAGAAAAACCGGACTATGCTCTTTGTTTGGATCTCCCTTTATTCCTTACATGGAAAATATGCAACTTGGTAAACACAGCCGTTACACTTTGAATTTGGAAGAAAAACATTAATCAGCAGCGGCAACAAAAACAAGTAATTCATAGCTGCTTCCAAATATTTGTTAAATATTTGTTTTTCTAGATGTTTACACTTGGCCAACACAGATTTCTAGTGTTTGCCTTGTGATTAAATGAGCATGAAGAACAGTATGGCGATGAAAAAGGAATTCTACGCGAAAATGCAGCGTCTAAAATAAACAATGTGGAACAGACTTTCTTAGAGAAGAGGGGGTGTGTGTTTGTATTCGGAATTAAAATCAGCTTGTATGGGTGTGTATCTGTGTTCTGATTGCTTCCAGCTTTCAATATCAAAAAGTAATCAATCGATGAGGCAAGAACAGTACGCGATTTTTCATATTATTTATTTTGATAAGTTCTAAGTGCGCATATAGTTGGGACATTGCCCTATATATAAGACAGTTTTCTCAAGTGGTTTCCAATGTAATTCCCGAGAGTGAAATATAAATAAATAAAACTTTATTGCTAAATGGTTCCCTTGGGGGTTTCGATTCTCAAAGAATTCCATTAACAGCTTTGTTTGTTTGATTCTTGGAATATGCTATGCGATAAACAATATTTTCAGAAACCAACAGTCTTTGTGTGAAAAATAAGTTTAAAAGTTTGAAATACTTTAAGATATTTGTCACTCTTTCTTAGTCATATTATGATTCCCATTTATTTATAAAGCGCTCCCTTTTCCTGTATATATTTTTACGATTCCCATTAATTTGATCATTCCTAATGCACAATGATTCATAATTTCATCGCCCCACTTAAAGCCCACCAATTTAGCAATAACACTCAAACAAATCAATTTCAATAAATCCATCAATAGAATCCACTGTAGCCATTTGTGCCCCTTCGCTGGCCAAATGGTCAGTCAATATAAATGGGCGGACATGTAGTGGCTTCCACATCCACAAAAAAATTCATATTGGGCCACAACGAAATAAAAACTAAAGACCCCGAACCAAATAAAGTCGAGACAGTTTGGGGCACGTGCTCTAGGTCCATTCTTCATTGCTGAATAAGTCGACGCCCACATGGCTAGACCACAGATTTACAAAAAAAAAAGAAGAAATAAAGCTCCATTTGCCAATACCATTGGAGCGCCATCAATTTAATTTTTTGCCGCTTCCTGTTTGAGCCCACGCCCTTCAAAACCCAAATGCCACTCAATGTCTGCCACATGGGACCCTCTTTTTTTCGTGGTCCAATCCACTTAACCTACAGGGTATGCAAGGATGTAGAGGGTTAAGATTGAGTAATATTCTATAGATATTTTTACAAAACTTTTCATTTTCATAATGCATTACGGTTTTTTTTGTAATTGCATTTTAGAGTGCATTGATAAGCATCGTATGTGTATATAATTTTAATATACTTGTTTATCTTATCCTATCAATCAGGTGATTTTATCAAATTCTTATCAAGCTTATCTTCGTATCTCTTTATTTATGGGATATTCTCTTTATCCCTCTGTCTACTTATACATATTTATTGCAACCATAAATAAATATATGCAGATATTTTGTGAAATATACAATTTGAATTTGCGAGCGAGCAAAGATTTGCTTAAAATATATAAAAATTGTTGTTTAAAAATTCCTTATAAATTAAGGTCAACGATCTGTAAACTTTCCTTTAAAAAATATTTTTAAAAAAATACTATATAAAAATAAATGAGCTTATATTTTTAATTACTTAACAATTTTGTGCTATTACAAAGTACTTATTTACAAACTGCACCTCCAAAGAGGGTCATAACTTAGTCGTTCCCTGCTCCACTTACATCATCATATTACTCCTCGTTATGCGTGTCTGTTGCCAAAGTTGACTTTGGGCGTTGCTCGAATCCATGTTTGTTCCATATCCCGGAGCACACCCTTTTTTTTAGCTTCATAAATGCCGCCTGCGTGGTCTGAGGACAATTTCTGCAATATTTATGACATTATTCTGAGCCTCAGGTGGGTCAAAATAAAAGAAAATTAAAAAGAAACGAGAACAATAAAAAATGCAAACAAAAACAGCGATGGCACTTTACATTTTTTTCGGCGCGTCAAAAATTTGTGATTTATTTGGCGAGACGTAAAAAACACATTTTCGCCTGTCGCATTGCGTTGAAGTTGGCCAAAAGCCAGCTGTGTGGCAAAAAAAAAAAGTAAGGAGCGGGCGGGGAAATAGAGTGGAAACTCTTGGAAAACTGCCAGTGAGAGCACAATTGAGCAGGTGTCGCTAGAGATAAAAAATATCAACGTCACGGGTCTGCAGGTTCAAAGTACAAAGTCGCTCCTGTTCACATTTTGTCCTAAATTGATGATGCCTCCGCATCAGGCAAATCCAATTTCCGCATCCGCATCCTCGAACGAACTTTTCAACTCTAAGCCTTCTCATCCCGACGTCATTGGCCGGCAAAGGTTTATTGAACTTGATAGAATGCAAGGAAAAAAGGATACTGCACTACTGCGGAAAACTGTAGGGGGATAGATTTTTGTAGAAGGATATTAAAATAAAATGTTTTAAGAGAGTTTAGAAATGCTTTCGGCTGCTGGAATTTATTTAAAGTAATTTTAAAATTATATAAACACTTTTATTAAAAAAAATTAAATATATTTATAGTCTTATGCATAAAATAATAATTTTTAACCCTTTTTTATGTGTTATTTTAAGTTTTCCTTTTTTTTTTAAGTGTAAAGACGTTGCCGCCCTCTAGCGTTGCATCATTGTGAGCTCATATAGTATGCAACGCAGTAGGAGCAGGTTAATGTCTAGAAGCTACCGAAGTCAAGCTCCCATTCATTCATCGCCTTTGTCCGCAGGAAGATATATGTATAGTCTACAAAGTCTAGTCCTAACGACTCCCCACAATGCGTAAATCACTTCTCGGCTGTCGCCAGTTGGGAGTCAGTTATTCAGTCAGTCACTCAGTCACTCATTCAGGCTAGCCAGTTTTTCTTGCCTCGCAATTGCTCATTTCTGGTTTTCACTGTGTTTTGGCAAGTTGCGTAAAATACGCCAGAAGGAAGGTGAAGAGGCAAGACTGGTCCGCGGATCGTTAATTTTTACGATACGGCTATTAAAATTCACCAATTTCGTACGCACTGTTTGCCAAGTGCTTCAACTACTTTAAGAAGTTGAAGACTTGCCAACAAAAAGTTTATTGAAATTTTTTAAACTTGCTTTTCACTACTTAAACATGTAGGTTTTTATCGTATATTTTATGTAAAACTAGGTTTTTGAAAATTTCTTAAATTTATAATTAATATAGAATAATTCTTTAGCCAAGATAAATACATCTATATGGTCTTTTGAATGGCCCAATCGCCTTTACAGGCATCTGTTTTTCTCCAGTTTATGCCATCGTGTGGCAGATGGCTGGGAATAAATGCAGAGATCCAAGTCCAATGCATTCGCTGACCAAAAAACATCTTTAGGTTTGATCTCATTCCCTGATCATACGAAAAGTTCCTGGAATTGGCTTCAAAATAGGTGGCCCCATATCGAACAATTGGCCAACAAGTGTATAATTCCCAAGCAGACACACCTAGCACGACCAGCATCAAAATATAAAGACATATAAACTGAAATCTGCCGACTGGGAATTCATAGCTGCCACCGTGTAGCACGAACCAGAATATGCTGCTGGCTATGAATGATATAAAAGAAGCCACAAATGTGTAGAACACAAAGTAGAAGAAGTATCTATAGTTTTCATATCCGATGCAGCAAGCGGAGAAGTAGCAGTGATGATCCCTCGTTAGAATACAAACCCCACATACCCTACAGTGATGGGATCGAGGAGGAGCCAAAATCTCACACTTTCGGCACTCGTGCCAGTCATTACTTGGCTTTCTCAACTCAAATTGCAAACTTAACTGCTCTGGATCGACTGTTGGATCTACCAACATGCACATCACCATATTAGACATGATATTCGAAAAGAGAAAGAGACCCAGCACTCTGAGGAATATATATCCTGGACTCCCAACATCCAGCAGCTCCGGCAGCACAATATTCATCAGGACGTAGTACGCAATAGTTATACCAACTACAAGGATCACCGTTAGTGAGGCTTCCTCCTTCCAAAAGATCCTCTTAAGCGAACGAAATCTCATTTTTAGACCTAATAGTTGAAAAATGGAATTATTTTCCTAGAAATATGATTTATTTCTACAAGGAAATCAGATCTTTGGATTTGTTTTGGTTGACCAAAATATTTTTTTTTGTTATTAACCAATTGCCATTTATTATTTTCCATTTTTTTTAGTACAAGAGCTTGGAAATTGTATATATTTGGGAAGAATATTAAAAACTTTTTTATCCGCCTCTTGGGAAATTATAGATATTATGTCATCCTTTCGCACACATGTAACTGCCAATTAAACATTTTTCTCTCTACACTCTTATCACACCACGATCTGCCCAATTTCGCAAAAATGTCTTTATGCTTAATTTTCCTTTCGTTTTCCCTGAAACTTTGCGCACAATTTAACGTTGATTACGCTTTGCTTTGTTACACAAAAGAAAATATTTTATTTTATATGTCTTGTCTTAAAAAAAAGATTTATTTAATGTTGATGCTTAAAAGTTTTCGTATACAAATGTGATTATATATCCACTGCAATTTTGATACAATTTTTATTTCTAAAAATTCCGAAAGAAGTGCAACACAATTTTGCCTCTGTTTTCCTCTTTCTTCTTTTTGGTTGATTTATTCATAAGCACTCCCCCACAAAGTCGCAGTTTTCGTTCTGTTTGGGCTCATTTTGCATGCAAATTCATTTAGTAAATTAATTGCTCACTCCAAAGGCACTTGCCCACTTTTTGGAATTCTCGGGGGAATTATGAACGGGGTATATCAGGATTTTAGAAAATGTTTGTTAATAAAATATGTGGTGCTACATAGATCAAAAATGTATTCCAAATTGAATTTATTAGCAATTCACTTTAGATAAATCCTGATAAGATCATTACCAATAATAATACACAACTTTATTACAAATTATGTAAGCCTCCCATTAAAAAATATAGGTTTGTACCTTTGTACCTTTGCTTCAAAGTGTAATAATAGTCCCTTCGAGGGCATCTGAAAGTCGACTAACCCGTTCTTATTTGCATTACTTTTCCTGTTTGCCGGAATAGGCGAATCAAATTGCCGGCAGATTGAGGTCAGGCGCTCCACTGTGGCGTGGAGTGCAAATGTAGGGAGGGAATGGGAATGAAAGTGCGTGTCAAATGGTACAAGGGTTCGGGTTCACTCAACATCCCCCAGTTGGATTCCAAATTAATATATGCCCTCTGCTTTTATTTACAGATCTGTCCCGAAATAGATTCGCCGAGCTGCCCGAAGAAGTCACGACGTTTGCGTTTTTGGAGACCCTGCTGCTATATCACAATACGATTCGCAGCATTCCGGAATCGGTGAAGCAGCTGTCCTCGCTAACCTATTTGGATCTGCGCAGCAATCAGCTATCCTCGCTTCCCCGGGAGATATGTTTCCTGCCCCTACAGGTTCTTCTGGTGTCCAACAATCGATTGGCCTCGTTGCCAGACGAACTGGGTCGATTGGATCAGACTCTGACCGATCTGGATGCATCGTATAATCAACTGGCCAACTTACCTGCTCGTCTGGGGGAGCTGAGAACTCTGCGTTCGCTTTCGCTGAGGAGCAATCATTTGATGTATCTGCCCAGGGAACTAACCTGTTTGAGCTTGATATCCCTGGATGTGAGCAACAACAAGATCGCTAGTCTGCCCCTGGAGATTCGTCACATGAGCACCTTGGTAGAGCTGCAGCTGGAGAATAATCCTCTGACCTCGCCCCCAGCTAGTGTGAGTTGATATCATCTAATATGATTTATCTAATATATTAATTAATCCCGTTTTTAATCCCTTACAGCTTTGCATGCGTGGCCTGGTGCATGTGTTCAAATTTCTAGAGACGCAGGCCACCAAGGACGAGAAGGGTTCCCGATCCGGAGGCAACTACGATGGCTACACCACACTGCGCAGAGCTCCGCGTCACAATTCCAGCGGCAATGTCCTTGAAGCCAGCACCACTGGCAGCAGTAATAACCAGCGAAGACATCAGGTCGACTCTGGTTATAGCACCAGCGATGGTCTCGACAAGCGCTGGTCGCACGATGTCCCCACTAAATCCAAAACGGATTCACCTCTGCACTGTGTGTCCAATTCGGCGGCTGCCACTTTGCCCAGGACGATGCCAAGTGCGGTGCATTCGCATGCGGATCTGATGGATGCATCCCTCACCTCCAGCACTAGCACCATTGTGGATGAGAGTCTTACCCTGAGTCCGACGGCATCGCCCTGCAAGTTGAGCTATGCGCACTCGAATAGCTCCAGTAATAGTTCGTCGCCGGATCAGGACGAGGACATAATGATCGACCACCAGGAGCGAACTGTTCACCATGCCAATGGGAAATCCGGAAAGGGCCTCGGCAATATTCAGACATATAAGTGAGTGGTTGTCCAAAATGTAAATAATCATATATTAAATGTCGGCTTTTTCTCGAATAGGGAATACAAGGAGGCCCTGAAACAGCAGCGCAACCAGGAGATCAGCGTCTACAAGCAGAAGCATCCGAATGCCAACCACAGTCCCAATGACGAAGAGGATCTATCCCCGTCGCCGCCGGCTATCTCCAACGGATCTTCCTCCAACACACTGCCAAAGTCCATTATGAAACAGAATAGCAATCAGAACGGTCATAATGGGAACGGAAATGGAAACGGAAATGGGAATGGAGCCGATGATGTTGTTATACCAAAGAAACCCATACAGAAGGTTATACCTTCTCGAAATACGGAAATAAAGCCGGCCTCCACATCCGGCATTCCCTCTGCCATTCCATCGGATTGTTTGGGCTACGTTAAGCCCCAGAGTCCCATGAAGAATGGCACAAATAAATTCAATACGTCCAATGGTGGAGGAGTGCCATCTGCAGCGGGACTAGCCAGCAGTACCACCATCAAATCACCAGTTAGCTCCACCACCAAGCTGGGCACAGTGAAGACACACCGTTCGGTGACCTGGAACCATGATATTCCCGCGGAGAAGCTGAGCTTTACCATGCGGCGGGAATTTGATCGCCAAAGGGAGGAAACCGAATTGATGTCGCAGTTGAGGAGTGTAAGTGTGGAGGGATTACTTGGTAATCAGGAAGAAGATTAAAAGTTATTTATTCTTACAGATTATTGAAACGCGTTTAAAGATGACGTTGCCTGTGGATATTGCCTCTGCTCTGACGGATGGTGTAATACTGTGCCATCTGGCCAATTATGTGCGTCCACGTTCGGTGGCTAGCATTCATGTGCCATCACCTGGTGTGGTGAGTGTGTTGGAGTTTTATTTTTAATTTCCGATTTAATTAACCTGCCCTATTTTGGATTCCAGAACAAGTTGACCATGGCCAGGTGTCGCCGTAATGTGGATAACTTTTTGGAGGCATGTCGGCGCATTGGAGTAGATGAGGTGCGTAGATGATATCTTATTCTTAACTTTTGAAGTACAGTGCATTTTGATTGTGGAACGAAATGAAATAAATAAAAATAAATAATATAAATTTCAATGATGTCTAAATTCTGCATTTTCTTATTGTTAGTACAATACAAATTAAAATTTTTTATATACAAACCTTTAACATATAAAAAAAAAAATTGATTGTAAATTAAATGTAAAATGTTAATAATAGTTTATTAATTCCCAAGCTACGAAACGCACTGTACTCCTTAAAATTTAATCTTACGTAGTTGTAGTTATTGTGTAGCTTAAGGGTTTAAGGTGACTTTGGTTGAATGCTTTACTATGCTGAGTGCTTTCCATATTGGTCCTGGACATTTGTAGTTTAGTTTTAAGTGTTGAATCCCCAAACACCCACATAAATACACAATCCACACAAACACATACACCCAAAAAAAAAAATACCCAAAAATACAAACAAGAAACTGATGCATCTGTTATTGGTGTTGGTTGCAGGAGTTGATTTGCTCCTGTGAAGATGTTGTGCCACAAATTGAACCGCAACAACCACAATTGCCACGTGCTGACGATGACTATGATGCTGATGTTTATGTCCAAGATGATGACAACAACATCAGTAGCAACAGTAACAGCAGCAGCAGCAATGCCAGCAACATGCAATGCACCAACGATGGCGACTACAGCAGCAACCATATTGATAAAGTGCCCAATGCATTGGCCCTACTGCGCACAGTGTCCGCTCTGATTGCCCTGGATGAGAATCCGTATCATCAGCAGTTTCATCATCATCTTCAGCTGCAGCAGCAACACTTCGAGCAAGAGCAATTCAGTGAGCCAACTACCTGCAGCCAACAGCAAGAACAGATGTTGCAGTTGCAGCAGCAACAGCAGCAGCTAGAGCATGTTTTGTATGAGAATGGCCAGCCAAGGGCTGAAAATGATGATGGGGTTGAGGATCGTGATGATGATGACATAGGCAAACGGCAGCAGCAACTGGCGACAGTGGGTCAAATGCTGCTGAAGGCCAAGCAAAAAACCTATGAGAAAATCAAGCACAATCTGCTGAGTGCCCATGGTCAGCACAATTTCCAGAGCAATAATAATAATAGAAAGTTGCACACGATTGTGGAAAATGAGCACGATGTGGCCGCCGCAGGACCGGCGGGTCATTATCAAGTTATAGACGAAAAGCAGGAGCAACCACAGCCGAAACAATCGGAGGACTTGAAGGATGAAAGTTTACTGGACAACGCGACCAAGGAAGCCATCAGCAAGCGCATCGAGTTCTTCGAGCAGCAAAAGAGTGGCAAACAGAAACTGGAGGTCTTCAGCATCTATTTGCCGAAGGAGAAAAACAAGCAGCTCGAGCAGAAAATTATGGCCAAGACTAACGAAGCTGGAACTTCAATATTAAAGCACGATTCCCATACCCTGACAGTGATCTTGTCATGCGTTTTCATCGCCACTTTCCTCTGGCTGGTCTTCTTCCCGTTGCCCGGCTAGTCTATATAGTATAGCTTCTTTTTGTGTTTGCCTTGGTTTGCCAGTAGAATTAAGATTCAAAATAAGAGTTGGTCGTGACTTCTTGAGGCTGCTTTTTGTTTACTGCTTAGG